TGGCTTTGACAAATGGCCTGAGTTTGTGGAATGCACTTTGTTTATCCACAACATACAGTCAGAAAAAGCCTGATTTCCACTGAGAAGTATTTTTTATGCATACCAGACCGCAATGGACACAACGGGCAGATTAAATCAATTAAAAGTAAAGGAGTACACCGGTCGTGTTATATAAAAGTCCCTACTCAATCAATTAAATGTAAATTAGTATGTCGATCGTGTTCTATGAAATGCTTTTTCATGAAATATCCTTAAAAGAAAACTTACGTATTGATGAAATTTATCCTTTGAGCTTTCAGTTGAGCGGCACTGTGGAGATCAGCCAATATTAGAATTTCGGCAGCGTTTTCTGCGGAAAGATTTACACTAAGAGCCCCTTCACACATCTCTTTAAGTCCTTCTAAAACATACTACGAAGCAAGAAAAGTTTTAATGTTTTAAAAAAAGTTACGAAAGATTTTTTTACACTAAGAGCCCCTGTCCGTTTGTCCATTTGTCTGTCTGCGCAACTGCGTACAAATTTGGAAGTGATTCAAACTTTTCAAAGCACACGATTACAACACCCATACGCTTATGCGACAAAAACTTTTATTTTAAAAATGGGAAAAATGAGCCGCCCTTACTACATAGAGTATATTCTTTCACTTTTTTTGTTCTTTTTAGAATAACGGTGCTCACTCGTGCTAGAGCAAAAAATTCGTGTAAAAAAGTACATTTGTCTCTTTGGTGAAATATTTAAAAATCGTGGTAAAAGGGCGCGTAAAAAAGGACTGGGTGTACGGTAAATGAGATTTTCTGAAGTAAAAACAGGGAATATTTTATAATGATGAACAGTATTATTTTAAAATCGGCAAAGAATCGTTTGAAAAAAGAGTTGGTTGTATATTAAATAAGGTTCTCTGAAGTAGAAACTGTGAAAATGTTACGATCTTCAATTAATTTTACAACAAAGACTACTCCCTACGACACCCGCGGAAACTGGTCATGAGAATTCCTTTCTACATATTACCTATAACTTGAGTTGCCATCTTACTTGTCTCCGTCACACGATCCATGAAAACTCTTTGTATTACGGGCACAATTCGAGGCAATGAGAGAGCATCCACAGTATGAAGTGAACAAACTTTGTTAGCAATAAATTTTGCAAACATATCGAAGTACTTTTCGAAGAATCTCCCAGAGTGTTGCGTGGGTCTGGTAGGGCACAAAGCCGAAAACTTCACTGTACCGATTTAAAGATTATAAAGTTCATTATGTTGTGTGAGAACCAAAGTTCCAGGATCTTTTTGGTCACATACTGCGGTTTTCATTCATTTTCTACGTATATATTGTATATCCTTATTGTTATTGTCCAACTTTATATTATATAAACTCATGCATATGAATACACGTTATTTTATATTATCGTACGCATTGCCAGACTGTGGAAATTACCGGAAACCAAAGGGTTTATTACATATTGAATCAGCTGTTTTCGAATGTGATTATCAGTCAATGGGCAACGCCGATAATGACATATAGCTTTTTCCTTAATTAAAGACGTCGTGCTAGACAGACGTGTTTCTGGAAATCTTTAAACATCCGCGTGGGTAACTAACGTGAGGAGCCATTTGCGACGGGGACTCGATGAGACTAGGAGGATTAAACCGAGAGACTGAGACGTTAGACGATCTAGCCAAGGACAGGCAAAAGTTTGCCTGCCGTTAGAACCATAATTTATATAAAATGAACTACACTATAGGACTCCTTTAATTTTTAAGCTTGAAACTCCTAATAAAGTTTATGCCATGTATTCGTCAATCTGCTAGAGTAAAATAAAAAGTCACGGCGGCAAGGCGTATTTGCTTATCTAACAAATTGTTGAATATGTGGATAGTTCTTAGCACACAGTTTACAAGAATAAGAAAATTCCTACCACGCATTGTTTTTTTATTTTTAATTTTTATATATCTAGATTATTTTTTCAATAGATTACAAATATTAACACAAAAAAT